TATATATATATATATATATATATATATATATATATATATATATATATATATATATGTATATATATGTATATATTACAAAACAATTTTTAATTTTCATTTTTTGTTTTATTTTCATTTTTCTTTAGTAATCCTCATAAATATAAAAATTAATATAAATGAGAATAATAAAAATAAAAAATTGCTGCAATATTTCATATTCATATTTATACTGTAAACAACATTACAAAATTACGGACGCTATCATATTAACACAATCATTAATGTAATCACAGTTTTTATGCACGTGTAACATATTAATGCGGCGTTGTTAGAGAATTTTCACGTACGGCATTTTCATGTTTCATTTTCATGTTTCATTATCGAGCTCGTGGTAATAATTCAAAGAATTATTGAACGTTTGCTATTGTGCGAGAAACAAAAAATACGAAGGGGGATATTTTATAAAGAAGTAAATACAAGAGAGGAAGGAAGAGAGCCATTGCGTCAGCGCGAAGCAATCAAATCTAAATTGCATTTTGTATTAGACGAGCCTGCAAGTGGCTTGTACGGTGCTTCTCGCAGTTAAAACTACTTATTTATTACTTTTTTTATCGTTTTCCAGCGCATTGTGCGCTCGCAACCGACCCCGATCTCTGCCAGGACATGGTCATCGATCGATTGTGTGCTCGCCGAACTAAATTATTTCGCGTGCTCGCCACTCGATGGTTCGCTGAATGCGAATGGTCGAATAGTATACGTGATATTGGAAGCCCTAGCCGGGTATCGGGTAATGGGGGAGATAATGCACCGTCACTGACCCGTAACAGTCTATGTAAGATGTCACATGTTGTCGCTATACATGGTGTCGCTAACATGACATCCGAACAAACTTCCGCGATACATATCTCTCTCTCTGTCTTTCTGTCTCTATCTCTGTCTCTGTTTCTGTCACCCTTTCCCTCTCGTATCAAAAGGATGAGAACGTCATGTAAGCATGATTCACTTTCCGCGTTATTTCGACAGACCGTAGTGTTATGTCATCAGCGATGTACAAACCCGTGCGGCGCGTAAATATTTTTTTCATCGAGTCCTCTCACTTATTACAATTGCAATGTCCTCCCCCCCCCCCC